CTCAAGGCTACCACTCTACCACTTTGAGACACAGTGCCATTTCTGGTTATTAATTGGATGTAAGTCTCAGGGACATTCCTGCCTGGGCTGGTTTTGAACCACAATCCTCAGATCTCAGCCTCCTGAGTAGCTAAGATTACAGGTATGAGCCATGGTGCCTGGCCCTATGATATAAATTTGATGAATGCTCCTTTTCCTTCTTAATTTCATAAACTACTTAACATCAATACAACTATTAAAAAAAAACAACTATGTTGTTGAGTAGAGCAAGGAATACATTTAAAAAGGGAGTGGGTGAGAACAAAGATAAGCCAGATGCCAGGGGCTCACTCCTATAATCCTAGCCACTCAGGAAGCTGAGAACTGAGAACTGAGGTTCTAAGCCAGCCTGGGCAGACTCTTTCTGAGTGTCTCTTTACCTTCAATTAGCCAGAAAAAGAACTGGAACCAGAGGCCCAAGTGTTAGAGGGATTGAAAAGTCGAGTAAGAAGGTGAGGCTCATAGTTCCAGTTCCAGTGCTAGTAGAAAACCAGACACCAAAGGAAGAGCATAACACAGCATACCAGGACCAGCGATTTCAACGTTTTCAATGTACTCGTTTTCTGGCAAGTGCTTGGTAATGTTCTGGGCGATTTCTCTTGGATTCACTTTCTGTTCCTTGGCTTTGAGCATCTGTAACACCATGTAAGACAACTGATTACATGACAGGCTTTTATCAAGTTACTTGGAGATGGGGGACGAAACAGGAGATACACTCCTCGACCACCCGGTGGGGGGACAAACGAAAGCACCAACAGGCCAGGAAGAAGGGAGAGGTGCGGACAGATGCAGATTTCCAGCCCAGATGCATCGCACGCACACTGGGGCGCACAGCAGAGCCGGAACTGAGGCAGCCAGTCTCCACAGTCTACCTTTCTAATTGTTAAGTAATAAGCAGGCTGCACAGAAGCTGGCCTCCTCCCGCCCTCCCTCCCACAGAGCCACCATACACGCTCTGGTTCTCTCTGCAAGGCCACAGCAGGACATCGGTCACAGCCGCAGGTGCTTGCTGGGGTAGCTGCTGAGCATCTGGCTGACTCAGTTCCCTGCTTCCTAGTAGCCACAAGCACATGGCAACCCTGGCCACGGCAGAAAGAAAGCACCAAACCAGAACTACTGCAAGTAAAAACACCAGTGTCTGTACAGAGTTGAACAGAAAATTCCTGTTGTGGCAGGAAGAATGATTACGGTATGGCGTGAACACGTGTGGAAGCGTAACACTGAGTGCTTCCCCCTCCACCCCATGCCAAGTAATGTACACCAATAAAAACCTCTGGAACACTCCTGTCACGTTTCCAGGCTGCGTCCTTTTTTACGAAGGCCATAGCCATCCGCTATGCACAGGTAACGTGACCCACACAGAGGACGGGAGCAGCGTGTCACCTGAGAAATGCCCATGGCACTGTTGCACTGGTAGTCCCCAAACTTGGGCTGCTGGCTGGGCGTGACGACCAGAGGGGGGCTCTCCAGGTCTGGGTAGGCGGCCCTGATGGCGCACCTGAAGACGTCCTGTAGACGGCTGTGGATGTTGATCATGTTCTTAGTGGGTCGGTTCCTCTCTGCCTGAAGACTCTGCGGGGGGGAAAAAGGAAACCACGCCCATGAAGCAATACACCACACAGAATCGCAGAATGTCCCCAACACTGATGCGTCTGGGGACAAACCAGAGGAGGACAGGCACTCGGGCACACGGCTGTCCTCCCGGAGATGCGCTGAGCCGTGCAACGGGGCAGCCAACGAGTCCCTTCAGGGGATGCTCTGAGGTCCTTCCTCTTTGTTCTTAGTGTCTGTACTGGGGCTTAGAACTCCCACTCAGATTTTTAAAGACGACGTACTACCACTGGAGCCACACCTCCACTTGTGGCTTTTTGCTGTTAAACTGAAGGATGAGAGTTTCAAGGATTCAACTGCATGGGCTATCTTTTAACTTTCAGCTCGCTGAACAGGTTGGATTACAGGTGTGAGCTGTTAGAGCCTGCCTGAGGTCTTATTTCTACATTTTTTTCTTTTTTCTTTTTGTCGGTTGTGGGGCTTGAAATCTGGGCCTGAGCTCTGTCCCTCAGCTCTTCAGCTCAAGGCGAGCACTCTACCACTTGAGCTACAGCACCACTTCCAGTTTTCTGGTAGTTTATTGGCTGGGAAGGTAGCTCAGCGGTAGCGCGCTTGCCTTGAATGCATGAGGCCCTGGGTTCAATTCCTCAGCACCACATAAGCAGAAAAAAAATGCCGGAAGTGGTGCTGTGGCTCAAGTGGTAGAGTGCTAGCCTTGGGCTGCAGGCACAGAGTTCAGGCCCCACAACCGGACCCCTCCCCGCCCCAAAAAAAGTTTCATGGACTTTCTTGCCCTGGCTGGCTTTGAACCTTGATCCTCAGATCTCAGCCTCCTAAGTAGCTAGGATTACAGGTGTGAGCCACTGGTGCCAGGCTCTTCATTTATTTATTTATTTTGTCCTGTCGTGGGGCCTGAACTCTGGGCCTGGGCACTGTCCCTCAGCTCTTCAGCTCAAGGCTAGTGCTCTACCACTTGAGCCACAGCGCCACTTCCAGCTTTTT